CTATTATCAAAAAAGAAAATTCCTGTATTGCATTTACACTGGTTACAAATTATTTCAGTTGGCACTTTTTAGTTATTTAATTGCAAATGAAAAGAGAGGATGGTCAGCATTTTTGATCCTGGGGAACAACATCACGGGGATTCAGTAAGAGTGACATTTTAGCAAATGTAGTGCTTGTGAAAGGTGACAGACTCACAGGCCTAGAACCTGAGTGCCTCTATTAAACCCCAGTACAGCTATAGCACAGACATTGATGACAGGATCCCACACCGCATGCAGACCATTTGCTTCCAATTTGAAATGGAGGAAAAGCTCGAAGAGGTAAGGAGGCAGTTCTGTTTCCATAGCCATTAAAATTTTGGTCTTTTTGCAGAGACTACAATAAAATTGCTAATAAGTGCCAAATGCAGTGGTGGTTTTACTATCATGTGAACAGTTGTCTCTTAGAGACTATACTGAGACCAGCAAATCACTTCTTATAGGACAATGAACAGCTGCCCTACGTCAGCTTTCATTCATTAATAACCTGGGCTAAATTTGAACCTGTGGCATGAAAGTGAAAGTCTCCTAATCTCATTACTCATCATCTGACCCAAATGGATCTCTGTTAAAAATATATTATCCCAAAATAATTAACAAATAGGTTACCAAAACCTTAGAATTTAGTTGTGCATTTTGGTCTATAACATGAGGTAGGCTGAAGTGAACTTCAGATTTCACCTGGCTGATGTCTAAAATAAGGATACAGACCATTCCTATCATGACACAAGGTATAGGAATCTGTTCCCACACTTGTAAAATGAGTGGGGCCTAGCAACAATACACCTACTGAGTTAGAAAATTATATTTGGAACACTGCATATTAGTAAACAGCGTATACCTCTCAACCTGCAATGCCCCTACTGGCTCCCTTTAGTAACTGCAGCAGCAGTAGACAAAGGCCAGACATGTCTGTTGCCCTATAAACCAAGGTGCTCAGAAGCACATACCCTTTCTAAAGGAGACACCATAAGATCCACTCTCAAGCTAGAGGCATCTTCCTGGGCTCTCCCTACTAGGCAGCAGGTCTGAATAATTACCACATTCTCATTTACAGCAAAGAAAATGGAAATAAAGAGATTGAGTGACTTTGCCAAGGTCACAGAGACAGTCTTACAATTCAGGAGTTCTTGGCTTCCAGTTATGTGTTCATACTACACTTCTATTCACCCACTGAAAGCTAATCAACAACAGGATACATTTTATTAGTTATATGCAGGACACAGTGCTCACTTAGTACTATTTGAAAAGTGACATTTTATGCTATGTAATTTTGATATTTGTTTTTTAAGTAGTTGTGAATTATGGGCCATCATCAGGAAATGCTGAGAGAGGAAAAAGTCACTTCTTTCCATCAGTTTGTCTCTTTTAAGTTATCAAACTAACTGCACAGCTCTGTCACTGGGTCCTGCAAAGTCTTCTCTTTCATAAATATATATATATGTATCTTAAGGTTAGTTACTTAAATTTGTTTCTGTGGGCCTTCTTTGGCAACACATTTCATGTGGTTAGTACTATTTAAGATAAATAAGTCTGAATTCCCAGTTTCCTTTAATTTCCAAATGTTTAGATTGCGTGGCCTGGTTATTGAACCGTTTTACCAGAATGAACATTTGCTCTATTTTACCAACTCCTTCTATATTCTTCATATTTTTACTCAATCACACTGAAACCTTCATTTCTGAATTGAGAATAAACTACTTCTTTAGCCTATTGTCAAAACAAATATTCTTAAACCCTGGACTCATCCACATTACCCTACAATTCAGTCTCTTTAAAGGCAAATAAATGGCTCTGAAATTCTACCAAAATTCTAACCATACTGCTGTCAGAAGTTTACTGCAGTCATACACTTGACTGATTACTTTGAGGATTTGTCTGCAATAACCCCTCAATTTCTTTTCCTAGTCAGTATGCTGAATAACTGTTCTGTTTAATCTGTACTCTCTATTTTGGGTTGTTACCCGCAAACATATTATTTTACATTTAACGACATTAAGCTGTACTTTCCACTTAGTGACCCAGTTATTTAAATGATCCAAATTCTTTTGAATCTAGTTACAGCAGTTTGATATATAACAAAACCCCATTATTTGTTATATTTATCCTGTAGATATAATCATCTAATTTGGATATTTCACATTCAACATCCTCATCCAAATCAATTACACATATTATAAACAAGAGAGGTTCCCAAACCAATCTCGGAGGTAAACCCTTTCCATCTAGATGAAGTAGCCAACCTCAGCCAATCCCATTTATTTACCATTTTCAAAGACAGCTATTTCATTCTCATATCAGGACTGCTTACTATTACCAGTAAACGTTAATGTAGAATCTTACCAAATGTTTTTGGTAAATCAAAATTCACATGCACTTCCCATGCACTTTATGAAGAAATATCTGTATAAAAAAGTAGCATCTTACCAATGGCTAACCTAACATACTTACAACTACATTAGCTGCTCTGAACAAATGTGCTCATCAAAGTATTATTTGCCTAAATTTCATACTAATAATACGATAATAGATATTATCTAACACAAGCTAACATTCTAGACCCAGCACAATCCGGATTCAGACCAGGACATGGAACTGAAACTGCATTAGTGGCACTGACAGATGATCTTCTCCTATCAATGGAGAGAGGACCGGCAGACATTCTCATCCTCCTAGCCCTCTCTGCAGCACTCCACACAACTGACCATGAGGTTCTGCTGTCAGATCTGAAAGAGGTGGCTGAGGTCCAGAGTAATGCACTAAGTATACGGTGACACTTTGTGCTGGAGATGTAATTTCCAGCTGGAGAAGACAACCCCGTGCTAGCTCTGAGCAATCTAGCACACTGAAAATACGTGACTGGCCCATCCCATCGCTCATGCCACTGTGGCTGCACTTCTATTTTTAGTGTTGTAACTTCATTAGAGTTAGCACAGGTATGTCTCCACAAGCTGCAAATTACACCTACAACTCAAAATGTAGACATACACTGAAATGGTTTGAGTGCTTCCCATCAGCTACCCAATGAGTAGTGATGGGAAACTGCACTTCCACCACTAGACCCCACACTTGTGTAGTTTCACAAGGATACTCTCTCTGATCCCTTCCAACATCTACATGAAATCATGAGGTGAAAGGGTCAGATGACATGAATTCAAGTACCATCAATACGTAGATGATACACAGTTCTAGCTGTCATCACAGATGACAATACCCCTTCCACCAAGATCGCTCAGTGTCTGGATGAGATCAGCTTATGGATGTAGTATAGCTGTGTGAAGATCAACCCAAGCAAGACTGAGATTGTGATGCTGGTGGGCAGAGGAAAATATTTTGAGGAGTTTTCAGCCACAGTTCAGTTTCCTTTGGCAGCAGATACACACCCACAGTTGGTGAATTCAGTCTGTAGACTAGGCATACTCTCAGATTTCTCAGTGATGCTGAGCAGCATCTGTGAATAATGCCTTCTTCAATCTCCACTTGGCTAGAAGACTCTGTTCCATCCTGGAGGACGAACACTTGGTCTCAGTTATCCATGCCTTCATCACCTTTGGCTGGAATGCAATATACCTGGGAATGAAGCCTTCAGTATTTAGGAAACTGTAACTAAACCAGATTGCTGGAGCAAATCTCAGCAACACAGGCTACTGTGAGCACATCTAACCTGTCTTCTACTGTCTACCCTGGCTTACCATTGAATTTCAAATCAAGTTCAAGGTCTTGGTCCTTATCTTTAAAGGTCTCAATAGCCTGGGCCCAGGATATCTAAAAGACAATCTAAAGCTTTGGGACAAACACTGTAACTATGCTTTTCTCTGGCACAGTGGAACTCTCTAGAATAAGAGTAAAGATAATCTGGTGGTAGATAGAACTTTCTCTGGGGGCAGTCTGAGACTGGATTGAACTTCCCCAAGAACTAAGGACCATCACAAACCTCACTACTTTCTGCTCCAAGTACAAGACACATTTATTTGACCTTGCCTTCTCTAACAAACATATAACAAAGTATATATTTACAAAATAACAACAAAAACCAACCCTCCAAACATATACCAAAGTAAGACACTCCCTTGCACACACTTCTCCCTTGGGGGAGAGGATGAGAGAACAGACAACACATTACAGATGTGGAGTCATGTTGCGTAATGCACTACTGGAAGGCGCTCAGATATGACTGTAGTAAGCACAGTATGAGAACCTAGATAGAATAGAATAGATCTAGAATTGCCTGATATTGCCAGTTCTTAATGGCATTATTTTAGAGGTACCATAAAAGGATCTAACTAGTGATGGTGCTCCCCAAATAAGTGTCATTTGTGCTGCTCCATAATCTTACATTTTCCATGCCTATGTGTTTGAGCTACTCTCTAAAACACGAAAAGATTATATCAATGGGACTTGGGGTTGCTCAGCACTTCTGAGTATCAGGATACTTATTTAGGTGTCTAAATAAGGACTTAGGTGCCTAAATTTAGGCAATTAAGTTTGAAAATGTTGATGATGGCTCTAATACAGGTCTTATTTTAGATCCCCATTTACTTATGTTCCTTTACTTCAGAAATATGGAAATATTAATATTGAAGTAATACAAACTGACACAAAATTCCATATAATTTACCATTTTAAATACTTTTATTTTTTTACTGATACAGTGCCTTCAATAGAATATTATAATGAATTAATCTTCCCAGGATCTCTATGATGTAAGTATTATTATCCACATTTTATATATATAGAAAAACTGAGTGACAGACAGCTTCAGTGACCTGAACAGACCCTGGATCACTCAACTCCTAGTATCATGCCTCAATCACAAGACCATCCTTGCTCTTTTTTCCTTCATGTCACTCATTTTGAGTCTTTTCACTTTTACTGTAGAAACAGTGACTACCAGCAATTAATCAAAACTTAAATGATCCCCAGCTTAATTCTGTCTGAAACTGTAGTCACAATTAATGTTG